ATGGATGTGGGGGCTGCAGACAGCCTATATATTGAATAGTATATAAAACACAAATTCTCTACTTCAAATGCAATGATGCAGATCAATCTCAAGAAGAAGAGAATGGGAGAAAAAATAGAGAGGGATGTGGGTTTTGCTTTTAAGGAAAGAAGAGGTTGGAAAATATTTAAGGAAAAATAGAGGATGGAACAAATTTGGATTTATGAGCAGTGTTACACGTATTGAGAAGGAACCCATAGATTAAAAACTGAAAAGGAAAAAGTTCTGCAGTGCAATAAACTGCACCTTGATATATGTATAGCACAATGGGGTTGTGAACCTAAACCGTGTGTCTAAGCTGTCTCATAATAACTGTAATCAACATGCTCACCAAAGGGCAGTATTTGGTCCTGCATTCTTATTTCATTGTATTACTGTTCAGATGTAGAAATTAAAAAATAGCTTTCTATTTTGAAGTTGAAAAAATTATATTCCTTATTTTCTGAACCATACAGATGCTCTATTATTGCTACATTTGCAGCAAAACTTGGCATATAAAAAAGATTAGTTATTTCCATGACTCATCTGGAAGGAAAAAATATTCCCAGCACAACTTACACCTGCTTTCTCTTATAGGTTTTGGGCTATAAAAAAATTGTTCTACCTTATGCAAAAATTCCTGAGGCCTGAGCTGGGTTGTTGCTTACTGGCAAGCTGAACCAGTTCGGTGTATTCACCACTCCTAAATTTTAGTCTGATGGACCTCAGCTTGAATATTCAAAAAAGTTGTTAAATATTTCCATGCTTCTGCTTTCCATCTGCAATAGTATTTACTCACCCTTGTAAAGTGATTTGAAGTCTTGTATCTATGGCAGTGTGAGTAGTAGTTACACAGAGAGAACAACAGGCTTGAAGCACTGTATTTCTTTTTTAGAGAAGTAATGGATTCTGACTTTATTTGCATAGCCATATAATTTATTTCTTTACACACTGTCTGCCAGAGATCCCTGTATAATATTGTCAAATAATGAAATCCAGAGACACTATGGATTATTTGTTGGTATATATGCAATGTTCAATGTAAAGTGGTTTCATGCAGAGAACTGAAATGAGACACAGATGATTCATTTACACATTTATTTACTATCCTGCTTATTCTATCAGACTGAAATGGAGAACAATGCATTTATTTTACAGACATTTGACATAAATTAAACAGGTATTTTGATGTTGAACAACTGTACAGACTACAACATGCATATTAATATGTTGATTGGTGCAGAAATATTTAGTTGATCAGCAAAATCTAGTATAATGAGAAATAATAATCACTTTTCTTTTTTTTTTTTTATGAAGTTAAAATGCAGCTGATATGGAGACATTGATACAAATACCATTAAATGTGAGACATTATTATTCTAATGGGATAAGATGGTTAGCTGAAAAATAAAGCTATTGTCAAACAGTCTTACCTACAGAAAGAAATTAAATCAGAATGTTTCTAACAGATACAATAATAATGAAACAAAGCATGTTTGATGCAATTACCATTGCAAAATGCCCTATATTTCCCTACCCCACCCCCAAATACAAACAACGTATGAAGCAAAAGCAGCATATTCTCCCACAAAATGTCTGGGGCATTTTGTAAAGGCAGATGAATGACATTAGACAAGACTTATCACATATCCTTGTATCTCCTAGTGACAGTTCTTTTAAAGAAAGATATGTTGTTTACATAGCATTTTATGATGAAATGCTGCGAATTCTGTAAAACTGAACAATAGTGAAGACACTGCTATTGCGCCAAGAGAACTTGAAAAAATACTGTTGTGCTTTTTTTCTTGCAGCATTCAGAGCATTCACAGAGGAATACAAAGTAAAGTTCATTAAACTCAATAGAACTAATAATAGTCATGCTACTGCACCTATGAAACTAACACAGTAATAACTTATGAATTAGTACATATTTTTAGTTGATATTTACAGTGATAGTAAAGCAACAGGCTATGTAGTCAACTCTCAGGTTCTTTGTACGCTAATCCCCCCCCATGTTTCAGTTTATCAGCATGGCTACCTTTTATCTTTTGAAAGAGTTACATAGCTAAAACTCTGCATAACTCTTTGTAAATTTAGAGGTATAAATCCAGAACTCTGCATCCTAGCAGAAGTGCCCATGATTGTCCCCAACTACTATTTTTTTTTATTTCATTTTGCAATGTGTGTTAGAAACTGTTCTTTTTGCCTAAAGCTATACTATATTGCTCCATCCTTCAGTTTTATGCAGGCAGAATTCTCATTGGCTTTCTGCTTAAGGACTTCAAGAACAGGCATAAATGTTTCATAGTCTGAACTTCCACTGAGAGATGCTATCTGAGCAAAACTTAGAGCCAAAATGTCCGTATAAAACATTTGTTCCTCGCCTTGCAATTATTAGAAAAGTAAAACAAGGAATAGGCTTTTGGGTTTTCTTTGCATTACTTTTTACAAGATTTTCCTAGAGATCAGAGCAACTAAGCACATAAAGATCAAAAATTCCCTACCTCCCCAATTTAAATTTGTTTCACCAGATGATCCAAATGGAAAAATCGTAGATGGGCAAAAAATATTCAACCCAGGACACTGATCCTCCATTACTGCTTAGCCATGTGCACCAATGTTTGCTCTTATTCATACCGGTATGAGTTAAGAGTCACTTTGTTGAGTGAAATAGAACTACTTGCAGTCAGTTTAATCACTCCACTGATTTAATGATTTTGGAATGAGACTGGAATTAGAGCTGTCTGCAAAGTCTTAATCAAATGTAACACCAACTTTAGAGTAAATTGACTATACTAATATGAAATACTCAAGAATGAGGCCCAAATTGCAAACCGCAGCTATCCAAGGATTATCAAGAGCTTCTCATTTAGCTGATTTCACCTGGACTAAGTTGGATAATAGACTGGAAACAATTTCATCTCTATAAATGGACGTATGTTGTTCTTTCCAATAGCACAATTCAGGACTAGATGTACTGGAAGTAATAGCTGTGGTAGAGATAGGCTATGTCTACATTAGACATTAGCAAGTAGTATAGCACAATAAAAGCGGATTTACTGAGGAAAAGAGTTTGTGCTGAGGACGTGACATTTACACTGTATGTTTCAGGTACTGTTTTGTTTTGTCTGGTCCCAAGCCCTGAGTGCTCAGTACTGGTTGCAGCACATGAGGTACCTTCATGGAACAAGTCTTCTAGTCTAGTTTCTTCCAAAATTAATCTAGTTTGCATAGCCCAGGATTGCTCTGTGGTGTGAACCAAAGCACAGGAAGTGGGGATGACTGAGAGATTCACTTCAAAAGGAGCTCTCCTGATTTCTGCTAAGATGCCAGTGTAGACATAGCCATAGACTTCCAGATTTAGAAACATATAGATACAGATGTTTGAACAGTCCAACCACTTTGACAATTAATTGCTTTTGCTGCAATACTGATAGTCCCTCACTAGGAAATATTTCATGAAAGTACTTCGGGTTCCCTTTGGTACAATAAATTTGAAAGATAATATAACATAAGACAGCTTTTAAGTTTTCTTAAATAGCAAAGTTTATCTTCTAGTAAGAGTGCTTTATTCCTGCTAAAGTTAAAAATGGATTTAAATGTTAATTTGAGGCCAAAATTTAACCTATATGAAATTAATTACCCAGACTGCTCTTAGGGTCAAGGTTTATATTAAGCACAGTCAATATCCAATGTGAGGACATGTCACCATTCTGTTTGGTTCATAGGTTTAATTAGGATAATCTTATCTTTTGGATTAAATGTTAGCTAATATCATGTTCTTTAGCTACTTTTAACTAAAAAGAACAATACTACTCCTGCTACTTCCTAATTCCACAATGGGATCCATCTGGATCTGTGTTAGACATCACAAAGGAGAGTTAAATAGCAATCAATAAAAATGTAGGTCTATAAATAGGGTACCCCTGCTGATTTGGAAGAAATCTCAATTGCAGCTAAGAGGTAATATTGCTTAAATATCGTAACACGTTTCCAAACAGTATTATTTAAACCTGCCGCAGAAGTACAAAGACAAGTTATGTTTCTGCATCTGTAGATGCTATATGGTATGTAATTGCTGAACAACAAGCCATCACCTGATATAAAAAAATATCATCAATGCCCGCCAGTCATGTAACCTTTCTTCATTAAGGAAACTGATAGAGCAGCTGGGAAAGATTTGGCTCCCAGAATATGAAAGCATTTCAGCTAGAGTTTCAACTGGGTACTGCTATAGAAGAACTTATTGGACAAGAGACAAACATGCATACTTATACTGATGGCCCTCTCAGTAGCATTTAACAGTCAATTAGAAATTGCTTTTAACAAAGCTCTTGCAAAAACACTGAACAAATGCACTGAAACACCTTACAGGATGATAGAGACACTGGAGGAGTCAGAGCATTTCAAAATCAGAAAGCTTGTGAAGTTGTGAGATGATATGGCTACAACAATAACAAAGAAATGCCTCTCAGTTTTTCTAGTTCCTTAGCTCGAAAGTCAAGAGTCCCAGAGCTAGTATCTATCTGGCCTTTTGCACCAGGCTACCGTAATACTTCCCTGATAAACAAGACATCTCTATCATCTGGTTTGGTGGGTTGCCTTCTAACTGCTCCCAAGTGGCAGAGAAGGTTGGTATTTTGGAGGGCAAAGGGAACAGATCCAAAGATCAACAATGATGAGAGCACACAGTATCCTGTTTTTCAGGAAAGCATTCTGGAGAACAATAACACATCAGATGCTCCTGTAGCAGACAAGTGGGTAGTGACATCACTGAAAATCTCTGGAGAGATCTGTTGGATCTTTGGAAAAAGCAAATGCAATGTGGCAGGAATTAAATCTTTGCAACTGGTATTTTTGCCTCATTAAGTGTGAACAAGGGCTATATTATACAGATTTTATTATATCTCTAGTTTATATAGTGTGTATATATATATATGTAGTGCCTTGTTTACTTACAGTTTTTCTGCCTTTCTCCCCCCTTTGCTGCATTTGCATTTCCTGCAGAATCTGGGCTGGCTGCTATGAAAAAAGATATTTCTTACATTTTTTGCTTTTAAACTGTTTTTTACATGATCAAAATAATAAATTTTATTTTCCATCCAAATGATCCCAAAATTGCATGAATGAAAAGAAACATCTGTTAGGCCTTGGACATTTTTACCTGGTTAACCTCCAACTGACTACGTTAGCAAAAGCACCTGAAAAAAAACAACAGGCCTTTGTACTGAACTGCTGTTTAAAAGGACGGGATTGAAGGAGTTAGTTAAATAATTAAGGGGAACGGAAACCGGAGCGTTCAAGAGGCTTTACCCTCCATATTCCATGGCATTTTCTTAAGAATTCTGATTCTTGTATTCAGGGATTTCTCAAGTCTAATTTAGTTTGTTTCTAGATATAAGATATAATGTTTTCCGTGTATTCTTTCAATATAATTCTGAGTCTAGTTTGAAGGTAAACCTTGTTTCAGATAGAGCTAAAGAAATAGAAGCAAGCTGCAGCTGCAGGTACGGGAAGAGACCTACTTTTAAAACAAGTAGTTGTTCTTCACTTACAGAACTGAGCAAAGAATAAAAATGTGATGCCAGACGTTATCTATTATGAAAGGACTCAAGAAACCAATTGTCATTTTGATCTAGGTATGTTATAGGCAAAAATAGAATCTTCTGTATGCACTTTTGGTTATGAAATATTGTATTAAAAAGAAACAGCTCTTCAAGTCAGTTGCTCTAGTGTTGGATCAGATAACACCTCTTTAATATCAGTAATGCTTGAAATTTGAGACCAATTTTGAAGTGAGGACACAGTGCATTAGATTGCTGCATTCACGCAGAGGCTCCTATGTTGTAGACAATGAAGCATTAAAAGGCCTTTTGTGTTTTTATTTAAAAAAGTGTATTTTATATAAATTCTGTAGTGCAATAACTTCCTACTCCATGTTACATTCTTTACATTATATGATCCCCCTGTAAACAGCTTTCCTGTATGTACTTACTTTGCAGTTTGTGCGATACATTATTCCCCCCACCCTCTATTTGGATTAATGTGACTATTCACTCAAAAATTCTTCTGATTACTACGTGAAAATCGTTTAAATGTGTACATTTGGTTTCATCACTGAAAATTAATTAAAACTTTGATTCAGGATTCTTCAGTTAGTATAAAATATAAAAAATAGATTGTTTAATTTCAAAGTTATCTCCCTGAACAATCTTCATTTTCCAGTGATACAAAGAGTCAGACTCCTCTCAGGTGCACAAGGGAGTAACTTCATCTTAAGACTCCTTAAGTTGTTTTGAAATTCCAGAACTTTGGGAAACTGGCTCCAGAACTCAAAAAATCCCCTTACTGTAGTGAATGGGTGAATGGGTCTGAAATGGCTTTGAGATTTTAGAAAAACAGAAAAATATATTCAGGCAGTTTTGCATAATTTACTACATAGCAATTCAAATTCATGATGAATGAAGTGATTCTGGTCTGCACTTCTTATGCACGCTATACTGGAGTAAAAGCTAGGTCCAGTCCTGTACCTCTACTCAGGTAAATATTTTGGTTAGAAGTTATGCATGAGCTAGACACTCGGGAGTGGATCCTATTCAGTGAAGACTGGAAACATCAAATGCCCAAACCTGCCATTCAGCACAGTTAAAACTATGTAACAAATCAATCATCAAATTATAACAAAAGCACTCCTTAAGCTTGATCCTCTTGCCTGCAAGATTTCTAAAATTACAGCATCTGTTAATAAGAAGAATTGCATTTGTTTTGCTTGTACAGTTTCAAAATATCTATGCTTCTCTGAAATCATTTAAAATAGGGCACTCAATAAGGGTCTGGTCTTCACTTACCTGACTAATACAGTTAAAGCTCCTGTTGGCTTTACTGGGAGAAAGTCTTGCTGTCCTCATTTACCTTTCATTCAGTCCTGCTTTCTGGCAAATTCCCACTGGTTTCAGGAGGAATGGGTCTGCTCAAGGACTGAGGTTTTGATTTTACCACTACTGAATTTTCAGTGTTTTAAATGGAGCAGAATCAGGTTTGCATGAAGTACTGATTTAGCTCGAGAGCTTTAAGAATCAAACCTCTGCTCTTGCAATGAGTTCCCTATGGCTGGACTCCTCCCTTTCTACGAAGTGCCACAGATCTGAGAGGGCTTTTAGAAAGTGCAAGGGTCCGCTGGGAGCGACACCACATAGTAGGACACAAACCTCAGTCTTGCCAGAACAACACAGTTATCTTCAATGGGAGTTTTCTGTGGATCCAGAATATAGGATCAGGTCCCATTTGGACTTTATTTGGTCTTCATTAGTTCACTAGGACGTAAAGGCAGATCAAATAGGCCCGTGTGATTTCATAAAACTGCACATAGAAAATACAGACCAACATTTTAGGCATATAAAAATTCACTGGCATTTAGTTTGAGTCACTGAAAATATCTAGCAAGAAAAAATAAAATCAGTATAGAAGATTAATGACTATAAAATATTCAAGAGCTAAGTTTTGGAACAGTGAGACATAATATGATTGAAAAATGTTAAGCAGAATGCCATAGGTAAAATCGTATGTAGCAACAAGTTGCAATGAACTGCAACTAAGGACAAAAAAATTTTTTTTTTTTGGAGACTTAATGACCAGACATTGTTCTGAAGAAATAACCTTCTGCTTCCAGTGTTTCAGATGACTAAAGAAACACCTCAGTGTCATCTTGTAACAAAAATCTACCCTCGGAAAACAGTCTTTTTTTTCAGATTAAGGGATTGCTTTGCACCATTATTTGGTCCAGCTACTGGAATCCATGTTTTGGGACTTTTCAAACTTGCCTCTTTTCTATGGGCCAGACTTGAGTAATGTCTATGGAATCAGCTTTGCCATTTCAAGCAGAAGTTGCTATAAATGTTGCTATAAAAATACCTGCTCTGTTACATCGAATGCATTATGCACTTGATTTTTTACTCATTTCAGTGACAGAAAAATGACACATAAGTGTAAATTAGCCTAGGTTCACTGTGCAGAGTAAAGACCTAGTGTAATAAAACACATGCTGGCCTAAAGTGTTTTTAAGGCTTCCGTCATTGTTGTCTCGCAGTCTTTACCACGCTTATAACAGTTCTGATCTGGAAGCAGCGTTCTCTCGGTTTTGTGCATAGGGAACTGGGAGGCCTAATTGCAGGCAACAAGCCTGTGCAGCCGCAGGCAATTGATACTAGAATTTCTGAACACCTCATCAGCCTTTCAACCACTGGATCCTCTGGCCATTAGCTGTGAGACTAGACTACTGCTCTTACGAAGCTGTTGTAAGGGAGTATCCAGTTTTGACAGAAATCAGAGGACAGTAAATATATATATATTCTGTTTTTCTAAAAGAAAGGCCATTTCATAGGGCATGCTTTGCTACTTTTGCCTATGCTTGGGATTAATGAATTGGATAAACCTTTTATAAGTCAAAACATTACAAAGATTTATAGGAGTTTTTTATAGTGCAGCATAGCAAGCTATTCAGGCTGGATAAAAAATTAATAGCTTTGTTCAGACAATGGTTAGATGGGTACTTTGTCCTGAAGGCTTTAGTTCAGCATCTTTCTTTCACAGAGCTGATATGTAGCTGGAGAGTATCAGAGAAACTGATGAAGATGTTTTTGCAGGGGTCTGTGGAGCTATTGACATTTCCCTATATTTGAGTATTCTTCCTTCACTAATATAAGGGTGGAACAGCCTCAGCTTTCGGAATAGCTTGGAATATGGGTTGAGGCAAAGTTGATGAGTCAGGTAATACCTTCTACCAGTCCAAATGTTTGAGATGAAAAACACAGACAAGCTTCTGGGCGCTGACGACCTGGAGCAAGCCTTATTATTCGCCTAAAGGACTGTCTGTTTTTTTCCAACTCTATCAGTTGTCATAAAAAAGGTATTACCTCTCCTTACAAAAGCTTGCCTCTTTTATGTCCTTACACATAATGGCTACAATAACACTACCACTATTGACATATGGGTACTGCATGTGAAGAAAAGGGGATTTATAGGTAGAGGGGAAGGAGGGTTATCAAAAATTCACAAAGATCATGTAGAAGCAAATATTGTTAAGTCACAGGAAAAAAGAATGTGGGGAATATTTCTTTTCATGTTTAAGCTAAAAGAAATATATTAGGAGAGAGAGAACTTTTGAACATGTCTATATAGCCATTTGGCACTATTTATTGCCACAGAAATAATTCTATGTTTTTTTATTTATTTTAAAATGGAACATTTTTTCTTAGTTATGAAATGTTGGCAGTATTCTATAAAAATATCAAATGCTTCAAGTTCTGGTCATTAAATCTTTGCTTTTCCTCACAGGATCATTAATTAAACTGACAAATGCAATAGGTGAAGTTATCCAAAAAAAAAAAAAACTTACTATGATTTACAGCACAGATAAATGAAAGTACTGTAGTCCCTTAATTAACAGATAAACCCATGAGCTTTTTAACAGAAAGCAAGATAAGTGAGATGCTTTAAGTAGAAGTTGCAATTTTGCAACATAAGTCTGTACAAAACCTCCAGGCAGCACGCTGTGAAGGAAGTACCTGTGTCCCAGGAAACTCTTTTTCCATAAATCCTTGTTAACAGTAGCTTTCCCCCCAACCCCAAACTATTTACAAGTATATGCATTTTGCAAGCTCAAAGCACCTTGTTTCACATCATTATGAATGCATGCATTGACATTTCATCCTTTCATGTGCAAATTCTAAAATTCATTATAACCAAGACAACAAAAAAGTTAAAAGAGTTCAAAATCTGTCTACAATCGTAAGTGAAAGGATCAAAAATGTCAGATGTTGCAGAACATGGGCTCCTAATAGAGCTCTCTTTATTTTATTCACTGTTCTTGAGTAATTTTTTTCCTAGTTTTTAAATTTGTTACAAAAAGCAGTCTTTTTAAATTAAACAGTATTTAAACTAAACAACTCTTCATGCCATGCAAAAATAACATTTTATGCACTTGTTTTTTGAGGCTTCCCACATTTTAGTTCATAGGCATTGCTAACTGTGGTTTAAGAAAAAGTATCTTTATTGCTTTTGTAACTAGTCACATGCTAGTTTCACGTGTGGGACAGTAACCAGTTTCTCCTGGATTTGAATGAATTTCTGGGGCAAACAAATGGTTTTCCATTTTGTAACCTTCTTGGTTACTGTCTTTCTTTACCTCACCCACAGCATGGTAAATGTCTTGCGTACAGTTGTGACTCATGCTTTTGGGTGAAGAAGAGCTGACCTGTGGCTCCTCTGTTAAATGGCTGCCATCACTGTGTTTATCTCCATAGCAATTTGTCTTGATATCCTGTTGCTTTTCATGTTTTATACCATGTAACTCCATAAACTCTTCTTCTTCTCCAGTGTCTATTTCAGTGAAGCTCCTCCTCTCTTTTGAAGGGAAAGTGAAAACTTTTTGTTTGGGAAACAGAGGGGATGATTTCTTAGAAGGTCCCTGACAAAGCACTGAAGCATCAGCCCCAAGTAAAGGTCGTTCACCTTGGGGTGAATTTTCTTCTAGAAGAATGGTGCTGATGTGCTGCGGGGTGGACTGTGTAAAGTCTGCTCCTGCCGTTACGGGCAGTGGCCTTGCGGTGCTTGGTGGAGTTTGTGGAGCACTACCTCTATTGTCTTTAAAATTAACTTTAAGGGATCTAGATTTTAATGGATTGCTACCTTTCAGAGAACTTTTGGGGCTTTCCATGGAAGTGTCAAAATGCAAGTGACCATGTAAAACAGTTTGGGATCCACTGCCATCACTGATTACAGCTCTGTCAATTGGATTATAGTCAAAGGTGATATCAGTTGGAGAAAACATTTTATCCTTTGTGTACGGTATAAACTGAGAACTTTTTACTCTTTGGTTGTCTTCTAGGTTAACAGAATCAGACGGAAATCTCATTTGCAAGTGATGAGAGCCAGGGAACAGAGAAAGCGGAGACCTCTCTGTTTCTGTGAAGTCAGTTGCACAACTGGCAAAACTATCGATACTAGATGTGCTTCTCATGTCTGTTATTATGTCTGTAGGTCCAGCTGGCAATTGATCTCTCTGACCTGTAACTTCTTCCATTTCTATTTCTTCTTCATACACAGGTGGTTTTGCTGACTGGTCTTGGTAATCAGCATTAAGATTAGGCTGAGACTGAGTTTTAGTAATTTCATTATATAACATCTCCAGTTTTTGGGCACTCAGGTGCTGAGGGCTGGAGGATGCTGCGGCATTGTTTAATTGCTCATGGGAGTCTTGTTGACTAACTTCTTGGTATTTGTTCTCAAAAGACTTGTTTGAACTTGTTTCAGACATTGTCCTTCTGGCCCATTTCCACCGGCTTGGGGACAGGTGGTTGTCATCAGGTGTTTCCTTTGGATTGGCTGGTTCTCCAGGCTTACCTGAATCTACTGCTACATCAATCATTTCCATACTGCGAGCAAAGGCATCTTTCAGGTTCATGGAGACAATGCTGCCATTTCTTTTAGCTCGCTCAAGTGCTTCTCTCCTTTTAATTGCCTTCTCCTGTCGTTTCTGCTCCTTGTAAAACTCTGAGAAATTATTCACAATAATTGGTATGGGCAGAGCTATGACCAGCACTCCGGCAATACAGCACAGTCCTCCAACTATTTTACCTAATAAAGTCTTAGGATAAATGTCGCCATATCCTACAGTAGTCATAGTGATTGTTGCCCACCAAAATGATGCAGGGATACTGGTAAATTTTGTAGCATCCTCATCCTTTTCAGCAAAGAATACGAGACTTGAAAATATCATTATTCCCATGGCTAAAAATAATATCAATAAGCCCAATTCATTGTAACTCCTCCTGAGAGTAAAACCTAAAGACTGAAGGCCTGTTGAATGTCTGGCGAGTTTAAGAATCCTTAGTATCCTCATAATACGAAATATCTGAACCACACGTCTGACGTTTTGGAACTGCAGTACACTTTTATTGGACTCTGTGAGGAAAATGGTGACATAATATGGCAAAATAGCCAGTAAATCAATAACATTTAATGGGCCTTTGAAGAACTTCCACTTATTTGGTGAGGATAGAAAACGCAAAAGGTACTCCATGGTAAACCAAGCAATACACACAGCTTCAACATGTGCTAGCTGAGGGTTGTCATTTGGCTGCCCAAATTCATCTATTTCTTGAAGCTCCGGCAGCGTGTTAAGAGACAAAGCGATAGTGGACAGTACGATGAACAGAATGGATACGATGGCCAAAATCTGTAAAACAAAATAAAACAGTGTTCTGATTAGAAAACTGTCCTGCACGCTGATACAAGTGTATTTGACACCTTTCATATTTTGAAGTATCCCAAACAGGTAAGTATCTCTCCCCACCAGTGCTGCTTCTGATGTGAGTCTTTTTTATCAGGAGAATAAGATGCGTTTATTTCTCCTGCCAAGTGGATCATGGACCAACTCATTCTCCACACAGACCAACCAGAAAACATGCTGTGGTTAATCTGTACTATTTAGGGAGCTATGCATCCCTTTAACGCTTCTGCTACCCACAACAGAAAAAGAAGCCAATCTTAGTAATGCGTTTGCTAAGATGATAAAGGAGAACGAAGGCAATAACACTGCACACCTAGGCAGGGCTAAACGATGAAATTTTTAATGGCCTGTAGCTAGAAGAAAAATCAGACAAAAGGAAATACTATTGTAGAGCAATGACTACCTTCCAAACTGCGAAAGTTGGTTATATCAGGTTTCACTGTGAAAAGGCCTGAAGCTTAAATAAAGTATGCAAGGTTCTCCACTTTACTGAAATTACTGTGAAATAACTAATGCATGCCTGAGTTCTCTAATATACTCAATAATATAATTATACTTTCAAAATTCAAAGAACAAGTAAACACATACTAAGCATGGCACAGAACTGAACTGTAGAGCTTGCAGCTTCTGTCAATCAAACTAACTGCTTCCTCATTTTAACCTGCTTCAGAATGTAAATAATAGCATAGCAAAAAGCTGTATAACACAGAGACACAATTACATGACAAACATTGTTCTGAGAAAATAAAATCATGACAGCATATCTGCCTGGTTGTCATCAATTGAACTAGTTTTAAATTAGGAAATACTGACTTTTGAAAATCTGCCATAGGAAATTTATTTTATGCCTTAATGTTCACCAGAAAACAAAAGATCTCATTCAAAAAGAGGTGGGTCGACATATAGCACTCCTTCTAGTGCGGTGTGACAATATTAAAACTCCATGCAAGACAGGCTGTTTTATAGGTCTTGAATACAAAACCTTCTTGTCCAGAGTTGCCACCCAGGGACAATAACTATCCATCTGTCTGTTCAGGCCATTTGTTCACACACAAATCCAAACCCTGCCAGCTGTTTTCATAAAGTACACAGAATAGCAGGCCTGAAATTTTTAGTGTCTTATGTATATCAGCTACAAGCATGAGTGTGTTATTGGTGAAAAAAATTCAGAGCAAAGGAAAGTATTTTGGTTTCCTCTAACGTGAAGCTTTTATTTGCCTGGGACTTTGGTGTGTAATTAAAGGTGTACATCATTCCACACACAGTCTGTTTTAATTATTGCAATTGATGAGATTTTACAAGTCATTAGGCAGAGAATGGCTGGGGATCACTAGACAGAACAATAACAACTATGAGAAGAAGAAAATAAAGGGACTTGCTATTCTAAGTCTACATAAAGCCATGATTTGCATTTCTGGCTGTCTAGTGACTCAGCTACAAGGTGCAGGGTACTTTTAACCCAGTGCTTCATAACTGGGTCCTTGGGAGTGATCATTCATTTTCTTTTGGGCTAAACAGAACCTAAAATACACATATCCTGTTTCTGAGTTGTCTGCTTTAACACAGGAGGAAAGACGTGCTTTACAATCTCCTGTTCCACTTTGTTACCATCCTCAGAAGGTGACAGGTGCACAGAATTTCCCTGTTTTTTCCTGATATTTTCTATGCTGTTACCTGAAGTAGATATATACCATAAGCTGACTGGACTGCCCTCAGATACATGTCCTAAACAGTCAATGGGGCAAGTCTGGACTGATGGGACTGCCTTGCAAGATCCTTGTATTTTAGTGATTACCGCTTCCACGAGGCTTTCAAATCGTGCTGACTCACTTTCTTCCCTACTCATGTTTTCTATTTGGTCTGCATGGTAAAAATCAACCATCATGTTTTGCATCACTTATGGGACAGAAGAAAAAGGAGTAAAAGGAACAGAAGCCAATCCTTGCTTTTGAATGTCTTTTGTAGAAGGGGAATATACAGTCATAGGGACAGGACTGGAAACCTATGTGGACACTGTCTTCCTGGTACTCATCTATGGATAGAGATCATTCTGTCAGTGCTAAATGTCTGGTAAGCACACTTAGTCTGCAGCAGGATTAAAACAATCTAGGATATTTGCTTAGACTGAATGTGAGTGGGCAGGCACGAGTCAAGGAAACATTTTTGTAAAAAGAAAATGGAAACATGCAGAGGCTATATTATGGCCTCTGTATCATGGGTAATTTTCTGGCTGGCCTTGTAAAAGTGTATTTAAATTCATGAACGCTTTCATCTCTCAAAGGTAATATGCCCATAAATATGGAAGATATGTTCACAGGCTTGATGTAAAGCTTATGGAAATCTGTTTAAATCAGCTGCACCCTTTATTGTCAACAGTTTTCAGCTTGTGGTGTTGAGTTCGCAACTGAACAAAATGAAAGGTTTTGCTCAATGGGAGCCCTATCAGTCACCTTGTACATCTGCCTAAATCTGTGTGTGTCCTGTTGTTGATGTCTAGGGCTATCTAAAAGAGATGCTGTTTGGAGCAGAAAAGGCAGCACTACAAATTGAGTTCAGCAGTGCAAGGATAAGAGCCTTTTTACATTTGTACAAACTGGACAAGTACAGGGCCATTTTACCAGGCAGTCATAGCAGCAACCAGGCATAAGCTGCACTTAGCAGTGCAGCACCACGGCACTGCCTTCAGCAGCTGCCACCACCGTTCCTTGTTAGACTCTGCAGAATGATGGCATGAGGCAGCATCTCCTTCCCTGGTCTGTTCACTGCCTCCCTTTGTTGTCTCCTTGGGATGTCCCAGTTACAAGCATCACCTGTTGCTTCTGTCCTATGGTTCTATGTTGTGCTGCTCTGCAGAGGACAGTGTTCAACTCATGCTTGCTTGTTGGCAGTTCTGCACTCAAAACGTGTATGTGTATCAGCTCATATCGTGGACAATTTGGCACACTTAGAATCTGCTACTTTGAATCTGCGTTTTCAACAGGAAACACTGAAAATTTCCAACAAACAGGCAAGACAATTTGTTACTGATAACAGAATATGGCTCTTACTGGCTAATGCCCGTCTAATGCCCGTCATTACAAAGAACAAAAGGTCTTTGGCCAGAAGACATTAAAAAGGCAGCAGAGTAGGGAAAAGCCCTACTTGCATTTAATCCAAATGAGAATGCAATGGCAAACCTTAAGTATGCAAATTCTAACCAATTTTCCTAGATCTGTAACACTGAAAATTATGTAAGAATAGATGCATAGTACATGTTTGCAAATACTGTTTCTTAAATAATGAAAGAATTTGTTGCCAGTTACGAAAATCAGACTTACGTTCTGATTTAAGCTTATCCTAAAAGTATTACTGAGAAATAAACATGACATCACCCTTCTGTCAGGCTATATGCCTGGTTATGCTGGCCAGCGTAGCCAGGCTATGTAACCGCTCCCCACCCCAACAACGCTATCAGAGCTGAGTCAGTGCTTGCAATAGTGAAGACAGAATTTCACCATACAGTTAGAAAGACGTTTGTATCATTCTGCCATAAACTTTCAAAGCGGCATGCCTTGTAATTATGTTACAGTGCCTGCAAATCATCATTACAAATGGAAATTCACCATTGTTTACTGTCCTTCTTCCCTTCCACCTGTCATCTCTTTTTACTTCTCTCGCCTAACCTCTGACTGCAGACTCCTGGCACAAGTCTAACAGCTCCACATAGCATAAAATGGTTAGTTTTTGAAAAATATGACGAAGGAGAGGGGAATAATTTAACAGAACAACATAAATTTAACCCAGTTTACAGCTCTATTGCAATTGCCCTTTCAGGAACACATCTGATAATGGCTCTGACAGTATGTGTAATCACTTAACAGCTTCTCTCCACTACTCTTGATCTCTTTCCTTGATGACATTATTTAGAATTCTGACCTTTCATTTCCACTTTTCCCCAGATCATTACTATTAATTTTTTTAAGGACTTTGAATTTTCTGCATTGATCTTTCAGGGATACTTACTAAGCATGACATTAACCGTCATGCGTGAAGGCTAAGCTCTTAATGTTGTACTTATTGTACAACATGTAGGGGCAAGTACTGCACAGACTTTTCTTTTTGTTTCTTTGCACCAGGATGGATGTCACCTTAAAAGCTTACCATAGAAATGCTCAGTTGGGATTTTTTCACTAAACACTTTATGACTAGCTCCACAGACACTCCCTATCCTGTCCTTAAAGAAATTGTGCAGACTTGCTAGACATGAAAGTGGCCATCTATTTTCTTCTCTCTTTCTCTGATCAGTAGATGAGTGGTCACTGCTCCATCTTCAGTTCAACTTGACAGACCCAAGTTCCCTTTAGGCTAGTGAACTTCTTGATGTTTATTCAGGGAACCATCAAGTCCAGTGGTGGCTCCACCCAAGGAGTCATTTCTTAAATGGCATATGTCCAGAGATGTGCTGTCCTATCAAGATCACCTAGATTGGGAGCCAACATGTGTGGGAGTGAAGCTGGGGGCAGGTAAGCAAAGGGACTGCCTTTGCTTCTGCAAAGTGGAGTCCTTCAGATCTGTGTCTGAGGAGACCAAGGGAAGGTGATGATGTGCTGCATACCAAATCAAATATAGATGGGACACTACTGATGACAGCAGTTTAGCAGAAGGGGGAAATAACAGGCAATGCAGAAACTGGCTGAGATTTCACCAGCAGGTCACCCAAACCTCTTTCAGCACAGCTACACCTAAGCTAGGTACCTTAAAATTAGCTCCTGTTGGTCTGCCTTTGCTGAGAGACTGCTACTATCCTGGCATATTATTCACTTCAGAACTTCTGTCATAAAGTGTTTGTGCATAACAGATATCCGTCCTCCTTTACAGCCCTGCACAAATTCCATTTTTTTCACAAAGTCTTCTCATGTATACTCATCTTCTACTTCTCACTGACCTTCCTGTCCTATTAGACTAAT